CCTGCTGCCCTGAGCACTAATGGCCTGCAGAGGCTCCTTGCAGCCACCACCATTAGGGTAACATCCCCCAGCTTTTAAATCAGGAGGTGCACAGTGGTTGCTTTCACACATTATCCTGCCAAAGCATGGGGCATGAAATAACTCTCCTCCTGTAATTTCAGACATGACAGACAAGACCCATTTCATCACACAGCTAAAATGCACCCTCAGATTGAAGCCTTCCTGTTATCCTCCCTCAGTATTTGTTTCTATATTTTAAAGGAGAATGTATAACTTCAGATCCACACCTGAATGAGAAGGGGATGTGTGGGCCATCGGTCAATTATGCTCCACTTCATCTTGGGCTTCTCCCCTCTCTGGTTATAGTAGCGATAAATGGCATTTAAACTGCTTCCTGAAACAGAGGATTCACAACACACGTTCAACCAGGCCACCGGCAAGCTGTCAGACTGGAACAGCTCGGCAGCAAGCTGTAATCATATTTTAAAATGCTGCCTAATTAAAACCCAGCCGTAAATCAGAGCTGAGGGTCTCCAGTGGGAACAATGACACCGCAGCTCACACAGCACAGCAGGCTGGCCAGAGCTCCCACGGCTGCCCCACAGCCCAGGGCTCACCTGTGGTGGAGCAGCTGTACTGGGGGTACTGGGTGAAGGCGATGGCCCTCTGGATGCCGTCCCTCTCCATCTGCTCCACGGCCTCCTCGGTCAGCGGGTGCACGTAGCGGAACCCGATGTAGTACTTGTGAGGGGCTGCACACACACGGCAGGGCAGGGACAGGGACAGTCACAGAAACACATTGTCACACGTCACACACACAGAACAGTGGGCTGGACTGCTGACATTAACCTGATGGTGTTTTCTGACATTAACCTGCTGGTATTTCCTGGCTGCTTTGGTAAAGCTCTGCCATGTAAGCACATTTCTGGCACCTCACTGGGCTGTGATTAGAATTTAAAAGTGATTTATAGTATGGTTTGCTTCTGCAGGAGCATCACTTGCCTGCTTCTCCTGCACTTAGCAGAGGCACAGTTCCCAGGCTGGACAGAGCCCCGGTGCCTCACAGGGCAAGTGCTGGTTTTAAGGCCATAAAGGTAAAACAGTGTCAGTAGCAGAAGCTGAATGAACACCCCGATGCCCTCACAGCCCCAGCTGCCCTCCCTGCCCTGCACGCCTGCTCTGACAGCACCCAAGCAGCAGAGCAGTGAATCAGGGACACGGGCTCTCCCACCCTGAATCTGGAGGGCTTTCATAAAAAGCTGCATGGCTTTAACACCTAATTCTGGCAGCAATGTCATTCTCCCTGAGGACATCTCAGGTTCCTCCTTTTTTATCTCCAATCTTTTGGGTGCCAGCTTTGGGAGCATGGCTTGGTTAGGGATGGGAAGCAGGCAGGGGAGGTTTGCTGGTTTGTTTTTTTAAGTGGAGGACAGAGGTTCTTAGGAGAACAAAAGCAAAGTTTCTTTGTCAGGGTTTCCAGGTCAGTGGCTCTGAACTAACATTTATCAGGTTTCTGAAGGAAGCAGATGTCCCGTGCTTGGGCTCCACTCCGTACATTTGTGCAGGATTCAGAAACAGGTTCAGTCAGCCCCGGCTCTCTGCAGGAGGCAGGGGAGCTCCCAGCTGGGAGCAGCAGCAAATAAAGACCCAACTTCAGGAGCCCTTGAGCCAGTAAGCCCATTACCATCTCTCAATGGCAATAAGGACAGCAGTCTGACTGACCACAGCAGGGACTGGAGGAGTTTAACCTGGCAAAGGACATTTTGGGGGGAACGCAGCCAGCCTGGAAGCAATGCCCTCCCAGTGCCAGGTTTTGTCCAGGGCATGGGCAGCAAAGAGAGGTGCTGGTGTCTGTGCACAGGCTGTTTAAATAATAGCGCTCAGCACATTCTATTGTTACACTGCAGCCGCTGTCAAGTCAAAAAGGAGCCTCCAGAGGACTTATCAGGTGGGAGAGGTGCCCAGAGAAGGGTGTGACTGCACAGAGAGTGGTCACCAAACAAAAGCAAGTGGGAGCGGGACACTGGGAAAAGCAGATAAACCTCCCAGGCCTTATCTGCAGAACCTGCTGCGAGGCTGACCCTTCAGGGCTGCTGCTCCAAGGGCACTCCTGCCTCGGGTGACACAGCAGGCCTCAGGCTCTGACTGCACCTGCAGGGACCCCAGCTCAAACTGATGCTAGCAGGCACAGTGGCACAGGCCATCCCATGCCAGCCATCCCTGCAGGGAGGGACTCTGTGACACAGAGACAGGGCAAGGAGGCTGTGCTCACGTTTGAAGGTTTTCCATCACGAAGGACTGGCAAAGGGAGCATCTCCTTCCCTGCCAGCCAAGCTGCCCAGCCTTATCTCCTGCTGTGTCCCCGGGTGGGGCTCGCTGCTATCGCTCAGCCTGCCCTGCACTGCCCATCTACAAAGCCCTGTCTGTGCTCCAGCTGTGCTCCTCTCAGCCCTGCAGCAGCTGCTGAGAACAGCACTCTGAGCTCCCCTCCCACGCCCACCTTGGTGCTCACATGAAATACATTCCCCTTCCCTCCCCTCTCGGCCTCAGCCACTTGCCCTCAGTGCAGGCCTGCTCAGGCCCCAGCAGGGCTCACAGGGCAAGGCACGGTGCCTGGCAGTGCCACACACCGAGGGACACTCCTGGCACCTGAAAATAACACACTGTCTGCCACAGCCATCTTCCCATGGTCACGGGAGAGACAGAGGTGGCTCCCCGAGCCCAGCCTTCCATAACAACCTCACCATGAATGGAATCCCTCCTGCACTGTCCTGCCACGGGATTTCCCAGCAGGGAGGGAACGCACACTGCCCCACGAGGAAACTGGGCAGCCAAAGCTGCTTTGCAGCAAACAGTCCCGAGCCCGAGAGCAGCAGCAGCCCGTGGGGGCCGAGCAGAGCAGTACCAGTGCCAGGAGACATGCTGTCCAGCAGCTTCACCATGCCCTCTCCCTGCAGCGCCGTCCACTTCTTGATGGGGGAGCCGCCGCCGATGCGGCTGTACTGCTCCTGGATCTTGGGCGTGCGGCGCCTGGCGATCAGCGGGGCCAGCTTGCTGCAGCAGAGAGGGGCGTGTGACCAGCCAGCCCGAGCCCCCTCCCGCGCTCTGCCCTGCAGCCTCTGCCTAATGCAGCATGGCTTGTCTGCTGCTTGCTCCACCACCCTGCCCACACCTCGGCCTGCAGTTAACACAGAGCAGCCATGGCACGCCCGACCCAGAGGGCTCCAGCACCGTGCCCTGCACTGACTGCTCTCGCGGGGAGTGCTGCCCCTGCACAGAAGTAAATATTCACAGCAACACCCAACACTGCCTGTACCACAGCAGATCCCAGTGCTCCTCACTTCTGAACGGGAAGGGTCATCAGATCCCTGTCCAGGAAGAGACGCAGCAGGAAATCGTGGACGTCGTCCAGCCGCTCCGGGCCTCCCATGTTCAACATCAAGATCCCTGTCTTAGGTTTCCTAGGAAAACAAGAGAGATTCCCAATCCTAGTGACCCACTGCTTGTATTTTTATTACAATGACAAAACAGCCAGCTCATCCTCCCACATTTGCCTTTTGCAAAGGCAGCTCCTATCCCAAGGCTCCTCCTGCTTATGTAAACACTTGCACTAGGAACAGGAATGGCCAGACACAAGTATCTACATGATCTTTGCTTTTTTAAAAGGAAACCACTTTGTAACACAGACTTTAGCTGGAAACACACTAAGAAAGCTGTCTCACGGCTGCTGGCTCTAAGGAGGTTATAAAACAGGGTCTCAGCTGTGCATCCCAACCAAACCAAGCAGCAGCTTCCCCGGAAAGCAAATGAGCCACTCACACAAGTCTTTGTCTTCATTACTGTGGGGACACATCTCATCTCCTGCAGCACTGACAGCAGCAAGGAGCCTTTCTACACACCAATCCATTGCAGGGCCAGTTGTGTTTGGGCTTTTCCAGAATGGATTTTCTATCTGGGTGCAGGCCTGGCACACTGTTGTAAGGACAAGGTGCCACAGGGCACAGCAGCACAGATGGTGGTATCAGCATTTACGGAATGGGTGAGAGTTGTGATCAGCAGCCAATTTCCCCATGGAATTGTTTGCCCTGCCCAAGGGAGCCCAGCGATCAGTCTCTCAGTTCCCCAGCAGATGGTTCAGGTTGCACAGGGAGCTTTGCCCTTTTGTTAAGGCCAAAGTCTCACAGCAGGGCACTGAGAGGAGCCAGGCCTGCCCCAGTGTTTCAGGACCTCAGCTTCCATTCCCTTTCTGCTGGAGTGTGTATCAGAAGGAACGAGACCCAGCAAGCAGGATGACAATGAACAGTGATGACAATGAACGTCCCTGCACTGCTCCTGCAGCACCTCAGGCCTGACAAGGGCCTGGCTCAGGGGCTGTGCAGGAGCAGGGCTGTCCCTGCCCAGCAGGCTGAGTGCAGGCAGGCAGATAGACAATCACACACACACAGCAGCCCAGCCTGGCTATCGGGACAGGCAGGGCCTGCACACACACAGGGCACACACCTCATACACACCCACAGGGTACACACACACAGAGCACACACACCTCATACACACCCACACACTCACAGGGCACACACACACACAGAGCACACACACCTCATACACACCCACAGGGCACACACACCTCATACACACCCACAGGGC